CCAACTGAGAGAGGACAAGTGAGAAGAGATTTCTACAGGAAGAGTTTGTAATTAGCATCCTAATGACTCCCACTTCAATCCTCTCCAGAGCTTCACCCTCGCCCTCCCTCCCTTCTTCCTTCTTCCCTTCCCTTCCCTCTTCTCATCCCAATTTATTTCCTTCTCTCTTCCCTTCCCTCTTCTCTTCCCTTCCCCACTTCTCCCTTCCTTTCTCTCTTCTCATCCCAATTTCTTTCATTCTCCCTTCCCTCCCCCTTTCTCTTCTCTTCCCTTCCCCACTTCTCCCTTCCTTTCTCCTCATCCCAATTTCTTTCATTCTCCCTTCCCTTCTCTCTTCTTTCCTTTCCTTTTTTCCCTTCCCTCTTCTCTTTCCTTTTCATCCCTTCCCTCTTCTTCCCTTCCCTTTCCATATAGTGCATATGCACCAAGTAGTTCCATATGATCCACATGCATATATATATAGTGCATATGCCTATACGTTCCATAGAGCACATATGCACTTAGTGCATATGCATCAAGACAATTCCCTTGTGTGTCCGATCACACTTGGCTAATAAAGAATTCTATTCTATTCCTTCCCTTCCCTTTTCTCTTCCCTTCCTTTCCCTCTTCTTCCCTTCCTTTCCCTCTTCTTCCCTTCCCTTCCCTTCCCTTCCCTTCCCTGTGCCCTTGAGTCATTGTTGACTCCTGACTTCTGTGAAAGATTTCAAAAGTGGCTTGCCTGTTCCCTTCCTAGGGCAGAGAGGAGGGAACTGGCCCAAGGTTACACAGCTGTCTCAGCTAGGACTAGAACTCACAGTCTCCCGGTTTCTAGCCTGATGCCTTAATCCAATGTTTTCCAAACCTGGATAAATTATTCCAAACTATATTTCTTCTGCAAGCAGTAAAACAGCAAGTTTTACCCAGCTTTGGGGTAACTTAGAATGCATACTTCATTCTAACCAGAGCTGTGGTGGCGCAGTGCTTGGAATGCAGTATTGCAGGCTAATTCTGCTGACTGGCATCAGTTCAATCCTGACTGGCTCAAGGGTTAGGGTTAGGGTTAGGCTCAAGGTAGATTAAGCTTTCCATGAGGACCCAGAATGTTGGGTGAAATATGCTGACTCTGTATATTGCACAGACAGGACTGTAAAATGGTACATAAGTCCAAGTGCTATTGCTATTTTCTTTGAGTAAGTGGATGCATGGATGCATGCATAGATATATGGATGCCCTTCCTCCCTCCCTCCCTCCACCTCTCTCTCTGGAGCGCCTCGTTTCCAAGCTGCTGACCGCCTTGAGCTGAACCCGGTTCTAACTCGGATCGACTTTTCTTTTCTTTTTAATTCTCCTCCTGCCCGTTAAAACCCCACAAACGTCGCTTCTGCAGCCTCCCCCAACAAAGCCCAGAGACCAAGTTTGCGCATCTTTCGCGTTTGGCAAACTCCTGGCGGGTAGAGAGCCTCCGAGCCGGAGTTTCGGGCCAGCAAGCAGGTGTGGGGCGCATGTGATGATGGGGCACGTGTGAACGGACCTCCCGCGGGCAAGCCGTCGCTTCTTTGCTGGGGGGGGGGGCGGAGGGGGGGGGGGGGGGAGGGGGGGGGAGAGAGAAGGAGGCTGGTACTTCTTTAAGTGGGCACCCAGGGGAGCCGAGCCGAGAGCCTGACGTCACCGGGCCATCAGCTGACCGCGCTGGGTTCTGCCCTCCTTCCCAGGCGAGAGAGGCGGCTGGGCGAAGAGAAGCCCGGCCGAACCGTCCTTGCAACGGTTCGGGTTTCGACCCGCGAGGGACTTATCCCGGCCGTTCCGGGCTGCAGGAACCGAAGCCAGCCACCCCGAGCTTGGCTGGGGAGACGCGGTCTGGGCGAGCCCGGAGCGCGCAGCAACTTTGGACGAGCGTGGTGAGGTGGAATCGGCTCTGCAAAAAAAAAAGTCTTGCCCCAAGTGTTCCGGGGGGACGAATCTGCCACGGTTTCGGGCCCGTCCCGACAATCGGTCGGTCTTGTCCGGGGCTTCCTCGGTTTCCCCTTCCCGAAGGGAGGGCAACCCGGCGTTGCGTGGCGGCTGTGGTGCGTGACGGAGCGGGGGAGCCGGCTGGCCCGCCCGCGGCGTGGGAGCGCAAAGGAGGAACGGCGGGCGGCGGGTTGCAGAAGCCGGTGATGCATCCCCCAGCCGCCGCCGCAGCCGCCGCCGCCTCTCCGGCTGCGAAGAAAACGGCCGAGTAGCCCCGGAGCGGATCTACCCAACCCTTTCGTTTCACCCAGCCCTCCCTCCCTCTCGAACCCACCCCCCTCCCCGGGCCATGCCTCGCTTCAAGATCTCCCGAAAGAAAAGGAAAACTCCTCGCTTCCTGCCCGCCGTCTGGTACCGCTGCAGCCTTGGGGGGCGATCGCGGCAGGGCTGCCGGGAGAAGATGCTCCTGGCCCGAGAGAGTCAAGCCTTGGGCCGCCTGCCTTGAAGCTGCCCGCCCGCCTGCCTGCCCCCCGGTCCCGTGGCTGGAAGAAGGCAACCGCGCCTCTCCGCGATCCTCGTTCCCTGCCGTTGGCTTCCCCACCGCCGCTCGTCCGGTCCCTTCCCTGCCTCCTTTCTTCACCTCGCTGGACCGATGTCGTCGCTTTGCAGCGGCCGCTTGGCGTTCCCGCGGCTGGAGCCCCCTCCAGCCTTCCCAGCTGTACCGGTATAGGAGTCGGAGGTTGCCGCTGGCTTCTCCTGCCCACCTGTCTCCCGAGCCCGTCACTTCCAGCCCTGCAGAAGTTGCATGCGCTCCCTACAGCCGTTAATCTCCCCGCTGGGCTGCTTATTTAAAATATATATACTCTTCAACAGCCTCTCTGGGGGATTGCGCTTTCACTTTGGCTTGGATTCCGTCTAAGGCTGCAAGGAGGAACTTCGGGGAACTTAAAAGGATGAGGAAGCCGCCTGCCTGAAACTTGGGAGGCTGCCCAGAAAACCAAAACCAATACCTAAGGACACGGGGTGGCTCGGAATGTAGGATGGGAACTTCCAAACTGTCCTCTTTGGGGATCTCCCCCTCCCCACAATCCCAAAGACGCCCAGATGTTTGTGGCCTTTGGGTGTAGGCTCCATGGAAGCTACCAGCCAGGACTTGGGGGCCTGTGGCTTCAATTCCACTTAACCGACCTTCCTACCAGCCGTTCGCCTTGCCCAGCTGATCTGGAAGCTGAAGGGGATGCAGTTGGCGAAGGCCCACCTTGCTTCCAAGGTATATCCAGTGCCAATGGAGGCATGGGGAGGACCCTGTCTTCTGCCAATGCCGACTGACCTTTGATCCCCCTGCCAAGAAGGTGGGGGGAGGCGGCGGGAGGGAGCCAAACCAGCTGCCTTTCGATGTGACTGGACCTTCCTCCTGCTCCGAGCCCCCCGCCACCCACCATGGAGCTGTCCGAGGTACGTTGCTTGAGCGACAGCGATGAGTTGTACACCATCAACCAGACGCCCCCTAGTGGCGGTGCCCGCTCCCAACGCCTGCTATGGCAGTCCGCCGTGCGCCACATCACGGAGCAGCGTTTCATCCAAGAACACTGCAGTGGCAAAGCCCTTGGCTCCGAAGAGTCCTACTGCCCCAACCACAGCCATCCTTCCCGGCGTCAGTCGGCGGGCAAAAGCCTCAGTGGCCACAACAACGGGGGCACCAAAGTCTTCCCCGAGCGCAGCAGCAGCGGCGGGGATCTGGGCTTCCTGCACTTGGATTGTGCTCCCAGCAACTCCGATTTCTTCCTGAACTGGGGCTACACGTACCGGGGTGTGATCTTCCCCACTTTACGCAACTCCTTCAAGTCCCGGGACTTGGAGCGCCTCTACCAGCGCTACTTCCTGGGCCAGAGGCGGAAGTCGGAAGTGGTGGTGAACATCTTGGATGTGCTCACCAAGCTGACCCTCCTCTTGCTCCACCTGACTTTGGCCTCGGCCCCCATGGACCCCCTCAAGGGCATTCTGCTGGGCTTCTTCACAGGCATTGAAGTGGTCATCTGTGCCTTAGTGGTGGTCAGGAAGGACACGACCTCTTACACCTACCTGCAGTATAGCGGTGTGGTCACCTGGGTGGCGATGGCCACCCAAATCTTGGCCGCGGGCTTGGGCTGTGGTCTCCTTGGCGATGGCATTGGCTACGTGCTCTTCACTCTCTTTGCTACCTACAGCATGCTCCCTCTGCCCCTCACCTGGGCTATTTTGGCTGGCTTAGTCACCTCCCTCCTGCAGCTTATCATGCAGAACTTCATCCCCAGACAGGTGGTGATCTCCATCAACCAGGTATTTCTTGTGGATTCCTTCTTTCTTTCTTTCTTTCTTTTCCCCCCAGGTGGGCAAGTTGGTTCACCTCCTGCTCAGACGTAGTTGGAAGCAGTAGCAGATCATTGCTAAAGCAAACCTAACCAGGACATCCCTTGGCATGTCCTGCCTAAGGTGTATAGGATCCCGAGATCTTTTGTCTGCGGTTACAGTACAAAGAGAAAGACGTCCTTTTGCAAAACACAACAGAAATGCTCTTTCCTCTGTGATACTGAAAACAGTGCCCTTTACGAAAGCAAGTGTGGCTAGTAGCACTAGTTAATCAGAGGGAAACAGACTTTTTAGGATAGTCCCATTCCCGAATCTCATTTTTCCTAAGTTGATCCTTTCCAGCTATCATGGGAGTTGAAGTCCAGCATCCACGGGGAGCATCAGAAAAGAGGGCAAAGCCATAAAATATATTGGCATCCCGTTCTTCTTTTACGGATGGCCAAGAACGTTTACACAAGGTCATCCCAAGTTGGGCTTCCTGATTTTGGGGTTGCCAGATCCATGCGGAGAAATATCCTGTAAGATTCCCAGCTGAGCACAGGATTCCTACCCCAAATGCAGCTACTTGCATCTGGGCACCTAGATGCAGTGGGTCTCTGAGGCAACCTTATGCTTTCCCCCTTAAAATATTCTTCAGTGCCACCAAGGCCAGGACGGGAATCTGTTAATTGCACATCCAGTGTGTACACATCCAGACTTTTAGAAAGGGAGGTTATGCAGGTGTCCCTGGATAATGCCACGTAATTCCCTTTCCTCTGAGTTCTCCTCGTTCAGTGCTGCATTGGGTCCCTGTAGTATTTGATCAATTATTCAGCAGAGTTCATCAAGTGGAAGAAGAGCTGTTTTGAGCACAGCTTTATATATGGCAAGCAGAGGATAAGCAAAAGTCATCCTCGTTTAATTTACAGGACCTTTCCCCAAGCGCTGCCGTGTGTTTGTCGGTTCCCCTCTAACTGTTTGTTACTTCAACACCCGTGTTGTTTTTCTGGAGCTGAGATTCGGCATTATGAGGCCTGAACACCTTTAGAATGTCCCAAGCTGGGACAAGTTGGGATATAGGATTTCTGCCTTTATAACACTCTTTTTATACTTCCTAATTTTGGTTGGCTGACTGCTGTGTTTTGTTAGCTGGGATCACTAGGCAGTTATTATTTTTGGGGGGAGTGAGGTGTCCTGCAACTTCAAATTTGTGTATATTTGTTTACCTGTTTTAACCATAGGACTTTCCCAGCTGTATCCCAGCTGTTTAGTTCTGATCTTTATTAAATGACAGCTGGAATTTGGTCAGGTGACCCAAGCCATCTGCTAAATCTGTGGCTGAGGCCTCTGGGATTATATAAATTAATCTGTCCGCTAAATCAGGCTAATTGAATTCAGCGTTGTTCTGTTGTTGTTCCAGTTCATGTACTGAAAGTTCTGATATCCTATTTAATATGAATCAAATAGACCTCAGTACAACAATCCTATTTAATATGAATCAAATAGACCTCAGTACAACCAGTTTGACTGGTAGTCTGGTAGTCTGGTTCTCTCAGTTGTGATTAACTGTGGGGAAGCAGGAAGACCATAGTTCAGCCATTTCTTTGGTAAATTGGTAATTCAGAGATAAATTACGCTGAGTCTTTGTGGTTTGGTTTTTTGGAACTAAAGGAAAAAGGACTGGGAACTATAATAATACAATTATTAAAAATTTCAATTTCCGGGAGGCCTAGTGACTTTGTTTATTGATTTAGCCGCTTATTTTATGCAGGTGCTTATTCCAGGAAAGAAAGACTACTCAGATTGAAAACTTCCTCCAGGTTACCATCTTGCAACAGAATTAAATATAATTTGCTACAACAATATCAGGTCCAAATGTGAGAAAGCTTTAAACTGGTTTACAAATTGTTTCATCCAGGAGGGTTAAAGGTCAGAATGACACATATTAAGGGAGTCCACACAGAATCTTTCAAATGGATCAGTAAACGATCTAACAGGTGCATTTTATAAGGAAGGGCAAAGCTATCATTTCAGATTTATTTCCTGTTCCAAAACAATTCCTTCCAGAAAAGAAGTTCCCCCAGGCAGACCAGAGCAGGAGGAAAACAGACTGTTCTGGAAAAGAACAGAATATTCTGCCTTTGAAACGATGAGATTTGCACACACCTATTGCATAATAGGGTAAGATGGGATAATTTAAAGCTTGGATATTTTATTTTATTGTGGTTTAGTAGGTTATGCAAGCCCACTTGACCTACTTAATTTATGGCTCAACATATGGTATTACAAACCCAGAGGAAGAGATGAATTGAGCAATTCAGCTTAGCAGGTCATTGAACACAGTCCTGGAGTACTCGATGGTGAGGTGGTAATAATTCCTTACGTGTGTAAACTTGGTGGCTTAGGAAATACACTGGATTCTTTTAGGAGTAAGGTTCCCAACTTTTCCATCTGACTCATTAATCACCTAAAAGCTTGTCAGCTAAAAAAAAACAGTTGATGTACTTGACAGGTCTAAAGTCTTCGTTTATTTATTAAATTTGTATGCTTTTCTCCATTTTTCTCAGAGACAATTCTAGGTGGCTTACCCATAGGAAAAGGAGTGGCAGAACCTGGAGGCAGAATTTTAAAAAAGGGATCAGCTTAGAATCCCTGTGTAGTCCTTTTTTAAGTCTGTTTTAAAATTAATATTAAATTTTAATGTTAATATTATTTTCAGGTTTTCTTGTGTTGCTTTTATTTGGTTGTAAGTGTAAGAAAGTGGCAATATCTGCGGGCGGAGTTAAAAAGAGGGACAAGCTTAGAATCCCTACATAATCACAAGCAGACTCTGCTTGATGCTACGTAGGGATTCTAGGCTGCTTCCTCTTTTAACTCCATCCCCAGATATTACCACTCTTTGTCCTATGCTTACAACCAAATAAAAGCAATACAAGAAAACGTTAAAGTAATAGTGACATTAAAACTGACTTAAAAATCAACAAAGATGGCAAGGAAGAAAGCCAAATACATATGAGGAAGCGGTGGGAGGGGTCTTACCTCTTTTTCATTAACCACCTTCAATTGGCAGAACCTGGCTTTGGGACCCTTTTGGAAGGCCAAAAGACGGGTGCAGATCTCACAGTGTTCCAGAGGGTGGGAAACAGGCAGGGTGGGATTCCAAAAATTTTACTTCCGGTTTTGTGGAGGTAGCTTGTGGGTGTGGCAGGGGGAAGGATACTGCAAAATCCCCATTCCCTCCTCACCCCACTAACCCGCTTTCCAGCTCCATTCTCCTGTGCAGGGCAACAAAAGAAGACCCAGCCAATCAGGTGGGACTCAGGAGGCAGAGAATAGATGATGGCTGGGCCAGTCAGAGGTGGTATTTGCCGGTTCTCTGAACTACTTAAAATTTCTGCTACCGGTTCTCCAGAACTGGTCAGAACCTGATAAATACCACCTCTGGAACCAGGGCAGAGAAGGTTCTTTTGCTGGACCTAAAAGCTAATTCTTTAGTTGAAGTCTTCAATTAATCTCACCAGAGAGTGACATCCAGTGTTACATGGTGGGGACGTGCTTTGGTAAGGCCTCACACCCTCTGGACCAAATGTTGGTGGTAGACAAAGACAACTGTGTACACCCAGAGAGAGACAACCGTGTGACAACTCAATAGGAGAAATTAATGCAGTCCAAGTGAGCTGCAAGGGAAGATCATCTAGAAAATGCCTTCTAACACTGAACAATGTGTTATGCCCTCCCTGTCATATCTCCCTCGTGTTTTCTCTTCCCTTGCCCAAGCTTTTTAAAATGCTGTCTAAAACTGGCTTAAAGTCCTGAAACATTTTAATCTTCCTAGTTTATTGCAGCCACATTGTGCCGTGAGCCCAGGGAATGTACAGCTCTCAGTCATTTCACTCTTTGGTTGAATGAATTTATCTCCGCTCTGTTCTGCTGCTGGGTTTTTTAGAGCGATGCTGTGATTGGACTGTGATTTGACTAGATTTTTTTAAAAAAAAAAAACTGCTTCAATTTGTTCGTCACTCAGGGAAATCTAGTGATGGGATGGGAAATAAGTGGAAAACAGAAATCAGTAATCTCTATCAAGAATTGGCTTGGAAACCTAGATCCAGTTTGGAGAGAAGGAACAATTCTTTTTGCAAACTCTGTACAGGCCGGGATCAGCAGTGGGATCCTACCTGTTCCATTATCGGTTTGGTGATCGAGCGCACGCGCACCTAACATGCACACAGCTTTCCACACACCAGCTGAAGCAATCAGCTGAGAGGATAAAGAAAAGTGCAGGAGTGGGAGGCTTTTTTCCCTCCTCTCAGCTGATTGTCGGAGGCCTTTTTTTTTTTTTTTTACTACCGGTTCGTAAGAACCGGTCCAAACCGATAGCATACCACCACTGGTCAGGATCCCCTGTAGGTAACTAGTTTTGTAGAGATGCATGCATTTTTTGTCATTGAAAGCTAAAGGAAATTTTAAAAAAATTCCAGCAGAATTAGAAGACCACGCAATGTCCATTCCCTTCTTGGGTAGAGATGGCATCTTTAGGGCAAGCCTGGGAAACTTGAAGAGGGAAAGAGACCATATTAAGGAATTTGAAATCTTTGTGCACTTCAGATTAAGACTTGGCACATCCGTCACCTGTTTGGTGGCTAGCAGAGTGGGGACAGGAGTGAAAATAGGGGTGGTGTCAGTGAGGCCTGGACGTCTTTTGGGGGGATGGCAGTGGTGCCAGTAAAGTTATTGATTTTCTGCACAGATTGGGCAAGGTTGCTTGGTGGGTGAAGCCAACAAGGAATTCTTCAACAATTTTAGGGATGAAGAATGAAAAGCCTCTTCTAGGATGAGCAACCAAGGTGACCAAAGGCCTAGAGACTAAAACATATGAAGACCGGTGGCAGGATTTGGGCTTGGCTAGTCTCGAGAAAAGAAGGACTAGGGGGAGACATGATAGCAGTTTTCCAATATTTGAGGGGTTGCCACAAAGAAGAGCGGGTCAAATTGTTCTCCAAAGCACCAGAGGGCAGGACACAAAACAGTGGTTGGAAACTAATCAAAGAGAGAAGCAACCTGTAATTAAGGAGACACTTCCTAACAGGGAGGACAATGGAGTAGCTTGCCTTCAGAGGTTGTCGGTGCTTCAGTTCTGGAGGTTTTAAAGAAGAGGTTGGACAGTCTTTTGTCTGAGATGGTATAGAGTCTCCTGCTGGAGCAGGGGGCTGGACTAGAGGACCTCCAAGGTCCCTTCATTCTATTCTATTCTATTCCTATTCCCTTTCCCCTCCCCTCCCCTTCCTCCCCTTCCCTTCCCTTCCCTTCCTATTCCTATTCCTATTCCTATTCCCTTTCCCCTCTCCTCCTCTCCTTTCCCTTCCTCCCCCTCCCCTCCCATTCCCTTCCTTTCCCTCCCCTCCCCTCCCATTCCATTCCATTCCATTCTATCAAGGAAGTCCAGTTGGACTTTTGGAAAAAGCACCTTTGGGTTCACAAATGACACCACTCTTTTTCAGGTTACCGTGATACTGCCTCAGTATCCTCTTTCTCTCGATGTAGGAGCAATCCATATTTATCTTCCCATGTGGTCCATAAAGGTGGTCAGTGGTGGTCAGTTGTCAAATGACCAGTCACCAGAGTGGTTAAGCTAATGGGGATAGATCGGACTTCCTCACGCTGGGTGCTTTGGGAGGTGTGTTGGTGGCCTCTCTCTTCCAAAGGCTGCCTAGCCATTTAATATGCACCACAGTGTTTAGAGGGAGTTTGTTGTTTGATATCCTTTCGGACTGGATCGTTGGAGAACGATTATTCACCTGCCTAACCTTGGTCTGCTACAGAGTAGCTAGGTTCACCAACATGTTGGCCTAGATTGAAGTGGAATTTGGGAAATTGTATTCAACATATTATGTGAACCTAGCCATTGCAGTAAACTAGCCATCCTATGTAGCCAATAATAATAATAATAATAATAATAATAATAATTATTATTATTATTATTATTATTATTATTATTATTATTATTATTATTATTATTATTATTATTATTACAGTAAACACAGCAATGAGATAACTATGCTGGGTTTCATATCATAAATCACTAGTCGAACACTTCCCAAATTGTTGTTGTTGTTGTTGTCGTCATCATCATCATCAACATCATTATAATTATTATTTGTTAAGGATCAAGATGTTGCGTGAATCAGCCATTCCCAACTTTCGTGCATGGCTCTCTTGTGCTAGAAATATTATAGATAGATTTTCTCTGTGGAATGAATGAATGAATGAATGAATGAATGAATGAATGAATGAATGAATGAATAAATAAATAAATAAATAAATAATCACACACACGTACTCCTCTGTGTGTCTGTATTTTATGGAGTAGATCCAACTATGTGATTCCTAGGAGTCAAAAATGACTTGATGTCTATATACATGCCTATAAACATACATGAATAGAATAGAATAGAATAGAATAGAATAGAATAGAATAGAATAGAATTCTTTATTGGCTAAGTGTGATTGGACACACAAAGAAGTTGTCTTGGTATGATACAAGCTGTACAAGTAAATATATAAGCTATTGCAAAGAGACTGCTGCTTCAGGCTACAAAGTTGTGTCCTAATATATACCAAACATTGTGGTATTAGACAAGGATCAGAAGAAAGTGGTGGTGATCAACGGAGGAGTCCTAGTGACACTATGGTTAGAAGACAGTATTGCAGGCTAACTCTGCCCATAGCCTGGAGTGGAGATCCTGACCGGCTCAAGGTTGACTTAACCTTCCATCCTTTGGATGTTGGTCAAAGAAGGGACCCAGATCACTGGGGACAATACGCTGACAATATAAACCACCCACAGAGTGTTGTAAATCTCTATGGAGTGGTATATAAATTGCTATTGCTAGTGAAGTCAAGTGACAGTTACATCCAGAAGAAGAAGTATTACAAGCTAGGGAAGTACCAGGGCCTGAAGGAGGAACTAAAGAAGATGTGGAAAGTAAAGGCCAAAGTGATCCCAGCGGTGGTGGGAAAACTCAGGGCTGTGACCTCTAGAGTGGGAGAGTGGCTCCAGAAAATCCCAGGAACAACATCGGGATTATCTATGTCCAGAAGAGTGCAGTACTAGGAGTAGTTAAGATACTGCACCAAATAGAATATTGAATATACAACAGACTAGAGACTAGACTAGACTAGACTAGACTAGACTAGAACAGAATAGAATTCTTTATTGGCCAAGTGTGATTGGACACACAAGGAATTTGTCTTAGTGCAAATGCTCTCAGTGTACATAAAAGAAAAGATACATTCATCAAGAGTCAAGAATCATAAGGTACAACACTTAATAATAGTCATAGGGTACAATAAGCAATCAAATCATACTAGGAAACAGTCCATATAAATCATACGGATACAAGCGACAAAGTTACAGTCAGAAGTCACAAGTGGGAGGGGATGGGTGATAAGGAGTGATGAGAAGTGCCTCAAACCTCCAGGCCCCAAGATTGAGGAAGGCACGGACTACCAAAAGGGTGAGAAGGAATTTTTAAAATATATCTCAAAGTCATTTTCCACTCCTAGTGACCAATATACTGTATATCTTGTTAATTGCAAGATTGGTAGATGGAGCAAGAGATTTCAGTTTGACGACCTCTGAGTTGTCCTCTCCTGAGTTTCCACGAGGCTGTATTTTCAAGCCCAAAATGGTCATCTCTTTGGAACCATTCATATATTTACTTGTACGGTTGGCATCCAATTTTTTTGCCCGTCTGTCAAAGCCATTACGGCTATTGAAAGGAAAAAAAAAACAAACAACCCCCAACTTGAGTTGCAGTCCAAAGCATCTGGATCGCCCTACGACGAATTAGAGTCAGAAACTGATTGGAAGCCGGTGCGGGTGGCTCAGACAGTACACAGCAGTGTTACATTTACCAGAGCGCCTGCCCATATTAATCAATGTCCACTCTGAACCAGTTAAATTTTACAAATG